AATATATAATATATAATATATAATATATAATATATATTATGAATTATATTACATATTATATATTATATAATATGTAATGTAATTTATAATATATATTATATATTATGTATTATGTAATGTATTATATATTATATATAGTGTATTATATATTATATATTATAGATTACATATTATATATATATTATATTTATTATTTATATTATATATTGTGTATTACGTATTATGTATTATATACTATAAATTATATATAACAAATAATGCTTTAATATTTTGTTTTAGAAACATTAGTGTAAACGTCAGTTTTCATTCTGTAACGATGAAATTATGACTGATTGTTTCAAAAGAAGTAGTTTTTTTCATTGCTAACTTTATAATAGGTATTTGGTGACAGTTACAGCTGACTGACTGATTGCGAACAGCACATATGACTGAAATGGCAAGCCGCTTAACGAGCGATGATTACTGGCTAGGTGTACCCACTGATGACGAAAACTATTATGTGATGGATACCATCAGTATACTACGTAAGATTATGCTAAACTGTTCTGTGCAGTTCTTTCCGTTGCTTCTTCTACTTCACTTTAGTTATAGTTGGAGTTACTTTAACATTCTGATCAATTCGCTTTAATCTTTCATCAATGCAACTTTAAAAGATTTACATATTTTACGTTCAATTATTTATTGTAGAACAACAAGGACAATTTCCGTACGTTCCAAATATAACAGTTTGTAAACATAAAGAACTTTCTTTTCGTAAATAAGTAAACATAAAAAACTTTCTTTTCGTAAATAATGCTCAATGTTGTGAGCAAAAGGTTATGCTCCCAACAAGGTGCGTCAACAACAACGACAATAACAGAACCATTACGGAGTCTGGGCAAAAAATTGTAATATACCTATCAGACTGCGCTTAGAAACTTATTTATCTTAAATAAACTTTTAGTGCGTTTCAATATGTCATCTGTTGCTGCAAAATAACTTCTAAAAGTAGTGTTAGGAAAGGATTTTAAAGAATGTATAAAGAATGAACAAGAAGTTAAAAGTCCATATAGTAGCTTTTAAATATACAATTCTGCAGCAGACCATTATTTCAGGACGTTTTATAATTGTCGTCAAAGAACCACTGGTTTACAATAGTTGTTAACAAAAGCTTAGCAAAAAGAACTGTTTAATATTGAAGCTTCTATGATCAGTTCTATTTATTTCTTTTTCTTTTACCCCAACAAAGTTTTTTCCCGTTTTTCTTCTTAGCTTTCTCAGTCTCAGTGTTAAGCAAAATAGCAACATGAGAGCAAGTACTTCGCGTACCAATACCAGCACAACCACCGTTAAAAATAACAACAATAAATGCTCTTTATTTCTTCGCAGAATAAACTATGAATAACGAAGATCTCTGCTGAACTAACTGTCAGCTACTAATATCAACTTTTTCAACCATACAAAAAAAAAATCAAAAAAAACTCTTTATTAAAGATTAATTTATGACATCATTTTTAAGTTTTCAAACCCCTCTAAACAGTAATATTTGAGAAAGTCAGCAAAACTGAAACACAGGAAAATGTTTCTAAGAAAAAATAACATACAAATAAAACTCTTACTCTAGAAACCTTTTCCGTCTGCAATAACAGATTCGGAAGCTACAATGAAAATGAGGGTCGTCTATAAAGTTCATTGTAAAATACTAGAATTAGTGCCTGAATTCAACGAACATTTCCTCAATGTTTGTAAAAAAGTCAGAGGTGCTTTAACTGCTTATTCGATTTAACAACAAAAGTGCAATTAAACCAACAGCTACTGGATCAATAAAGCGTAGAGGAAAAAATACCACTTGTGTCACCTCAAATACAACGACTACAACCTGTTCTCTGAGGAACCAACTCGTGCCTTCAAAAACCTGATACTGCTGAAGTTCTTTCACATGCAAATACGCAAGCAATGTATGCAACTTTTATTAAAAGCTGATCAATCAAAACCATGAGGAAAAACAGGAATAGAAGTATAAACACAATAAAACTCACACCAAATTTACTTAGTAAAATAACCTCTCCTGTAACAACAACGAGATGTCCTAACACCTAACACTCATCCAGCAACACTTTTTCAAGGTAAACAAAACAAAATTTGTGTAGTCCGCTAACGCTTAGAAAAACACATTCTTACAAGCAGCGATCCACAGCCAACACTTTAAGACCAAAAAAATAACATTTCTTACCAAGTCACGCCATTATGAGCACGACACCTACGACTCCAAAAGCAAATGCAAGAAACCATGACGAAAAATTGTTTTGCCACCTGAAGCACTACCACGTTTCCCAAAAGTAAAAAACCTCACCAAGTATGTTGAAGTGCCACTAACTTTCAGGCCCCCTGACCTTTGCAGCAGCTTTCCAAAGCTCCGCATAAATGAATTCCAATCTCGTCACAACCCATACACGGGAATAAAACATGGAAACAAACAACACTTTCAAACCGCATAAACTGCAAATGCAACAAAAAAAAAAAACAACATTATACGGAAGTATGCTAAACGTACAAATCAACTGACCTGTAATTCAAATTGAACCACTGAACAGTAAAAAACAGACTCAGACTTATGGAGGATTTCCAAATAAAACATGACCAAAACACCAATGTTTTAATGAAAACTTAGGAGTACTTTGAGATAAAACACTTCATATCGCTACGGGTTCACATCCAATATAATACCACTAATCATATCGAACGCTAGTATGTCTGCGCACAAGAATTGAAAAATACCGAGACCAACAACATCAAACCCGTAATAACAGTAAAAAATCAAAAGCAACAACTAATTGAATTAATGACATTTATTACAAATTTTGAAAAAATCCAAATATATAAAAGTAAGGAAAACGAAATGAATCAACATTAGTGCTACTGCTCAGGAGTAGCAGTTGGTGACGGGACAGAATTTGGAACAGGGGTTGGATTAGCATCCGATGCTGGAGGAGGAGCAGAAGCAGTAGATAGAGGGGCAACAGGAGCAACATTCATACCAGGAGAAACGCCAGTTGGAAGAGATGTGGATACAGGTACTGGAGCAGGTGTGGCGCCGGATGGTGTAGCCGAAGTAGGTGGCGGTGGTGGATTTGGTGGTCGTATAACTGGTGGTGGCGGCGGCCGCATCATCCTTACGCCACCAGGTGGAGGAGGAGGTGGGAATGGAGTTCGAGTGCCAGCAAAGAAAGGAGGTGGAGGCATTCGAGAATACATATGAGCTGGCGGCGGCGGTGGAGGTGTTGGAGTAGGAGCTGCTCGAGCGCCAGGCGTTACTGGAGGTGGCGGTGGCATTCCCCACAACGGAGGAGGCGCTT